TCCCCTTGGAAGAGTTACTGTTTTCCCTTTTGTGATTAATACGTAATCTATGGAGAGTTATTTGTGATTATGTAAATATCCTATCCTTTTTCTCATCAAACTTTCACTCAAAAGTTGTGGGTTTTGGCTGGGCGCAGTGGCTTACAACTGTAATCCCAGCACTTTGGGAGGCCGAGGCAGGTGAATCACCTGAGGTCAGGAGTTTGAGACCAGCCTGGCCAATATGGTGAAACCTCATCCCTACTAAAAAATACAAAAATTAGCCAGGCATGGTAGCCGGCACCTGTAATCCCAGCTACTTGGGAGGCTGAAGCAGGAGAATCACTTGAACCCGGGAGGCGGAGGTTGTGGTGAGCCAAGATCGTGCCACTGCATTCCAGCCTGGGCGACAATATGAGACTCTGTCTTAAAAAAAAAAAAAAAAGTTGTGAGTTTTTTGTTTTCTTTTGTTTTTGAGACAGGGTCTTGCTCTGTTGCCCAGGTTGAAGTGCAGTGGCATGATCACGACACACTGCAGCTTTGACATCCCAGGCTCAAGCCGTCCTCCCACCTCAGCCTCCCTAGTAGTGGGAATATAGACACGAGCCACCACACCCGGCTAATTTTGCTATTTTGTAGAGGAGGGTTTCACTATGCTACCCAGGCTGATCTCAAACTCCTGAGCTCAAGCAGTGACCCCACCTCAGCCTCCCAAAGTGCTGGGATTATGTGTGTGAGCCACTAAGCCAGACTTCAGTAGTTTATATTCATTGAAGATTATTGTCTGAATTAGTTAGTACTAGGAGAGGTGCAATGGTAATTTTCTTTCTTTTTCATTTCTTCTACATTTATTTGTTGGTATTCTACAAGTTAATTTTAAAGACTTATACTTAAAATAGATCATTAGTAGTAGGCTTGGAAACAAACTGAGGTGTCCCAGTAGTTTCTCAAGTATGTCTAAATCCTAAGTATTTGTGACCACGGTATTAATATTCATTGATGTAGTGCAGGTAAGTTTCCATGCAGTACTGGTCCATATGGGAAGAGCAGAACCAGTCTTAAGAAATATTTTCCCGGCCGGGCGCAGTGGCTCAAGCCTGTAATCCCAGCACTTTGGGAGGCCGAGACGGGCGGATCACGAGGTCAGGAGATCGAGACCATCCTGGCTAGCACGGTGAAACCCCGTCTCTACTAAAAAATACAAAAAACTAGCCAGGCGAGGTGGCGGGCGCCTGTAGTCCCAGCTACTCGGGAGGCTGAGGCAGGAGAATGGCGTAAACCCGGGAGGCGGAGCTTGCAGTGAGCTGAGATCCGGCCACTGCACTCCCGCTTGGGCGACAGAGCGAGACTCCGTCTCAAAAAAAAAAAACACAGCAATGTGAGTGTACCTAATACCACTGAACTGCACACTGAAGCATATGCTTAAGATGGTAAATTTAATGTCACATGTTTTATCCATAATTTAAAATTTTAAGTGTAAAGATAAATGTAACCACAGCATATGTGCATGACATATAACAGCACATAGTTACACATAGTTATGTTGATAATTTTTTATTCTGTAACCTATATTTATCATTTTAAACTACAGAAAATATACTCAATGAAAATTAAAAAAAAAAAAAAGAAAGAAATATTTTCCCACTCTTCTTTGAGAATGTATGTTGATAACATACAGTCCCAGCAACAGTGGAGATAGCATTTGGATTCATTTTTCCACAGCCTCACCTGTTTCCGGTTTTTACCAAAAACATACCTTTAGAGGATTCCTGATGAGACATTTGCACTGGAGTCACAAAAAGTTAACTAGTGCATGGTAGAGTGGAAAGAGCACTGGACAGACTTACCATGTTCGAGGGGATTGGACATTACACTTCATCTTCCTGATCCTCATTGCCTCTCAACATCTGCAAAAAAAAAAAAAAAAAATAGGAATCATATTTTCACTAATTTCCCTTTCAAGCCCCAAAACTGTCTTTGATTCTGTTCTCCTACTTGGCAATCAAAACCTATAATCACCTCATTAGCCTGGTGTCTTGTTCAACTGATCCAAGAAGCCAAGGACAAAAATGGAATGTCCTGTGTGGCACCTGAACCCAGTGACCTACTGATTGAATTTATAATCCAGCTAAATTAGCCATGAGGGTGTGGCACCAGGACTTGATACTGTTCATATTACCTTTGTGCATTCAGCCACATCATCTGACTCACTTCTCCGGTTCTCTTTGTTTATCCATGACAGTCATGGAAACCCACTGAAGGATCCTGTTACCTCTCTCTTTGAGGAGATCCTTCTCTCAAGTGTTGGCTTGCCCAGTACCTATAAGGCTATCTCTGTTGCCATGGTTGAGAGTAAAAGAAATGTTCCGTCCTGGGCAGACAGCACTTCCAAAATAGCTTTTACACTTCAGGCTTGAAATCCTGGAGTTCTTTGTAAGTCTTAATTAAATTTCACCAAATGAAATTGCAGAGAACTAGGCAAATAATGTTACACCTGATTGATGTATTGTTTAGTGAACTCCGTGAATGAGTCAAAGAACGTTGACAGTCAGTATTAGGACTCAAAATTTGTGGCCTGGGGTTTCTAGAACAGTGATTGTTCAATGGAAGGTGAGGTAGGGGCTGAGGGTTTTAAAATAGGGGCCTTTGCCAAAGCATGCATTCTCTTCTCTTCCTGGAACAAGATTTTGCTAGAGCCCACGCCTTCTCTGCACCGTCACCCTCCTCCACCAGAACTGCATTGGGGCCACTTGTGTAGGTGGAAAAGTCCACAGGTGAGTTGGATATTTGCTCCCCACTCTTCCGGAGCTGTCTGAGCCTGGTACTCGTCTTGCTCAGTTCCTCATTTCAGCATTTTTTATACTTAATAACCCTTCTAAAGTAGAAAATTATTTGGCTGCTTCCCTAAGAATATCTGCTGTAGGTTTTTCTGTCTGCTGAACTTCCATTTACTAAATTGAGAAGTTGGTGTCGGAAATATTTTTCAGGTGACTTGTGTAAGGTTCTGATGAGGCGAAGGGGGATCGTGGGATGTCAGAGGAGTTGGCAGTAATTTTCAATTCACTTTATTCATCTTTAGTGTTTTTAACATCTTAATTTTTTCTTCTCTAAGATTTTAAGACACATTTGACTTTACCTTTGCGTTCCTGCCTAATTTCAAACCCAATGATGTTTTTGAGTTCTCCTGTTAGCCCTCTTCCCTTGCCGTGAGTTTCTTTTTCTTTGAACTAAGGAATGTAGCCTTTCTAAAATTTAATCATGATCAACACCCACCTCACCTGTTGGATGAACCGCCTCATCATCTTTCACCAGATTGGAAAAGCACCGTCTCCTGCCTGAAAGGCGGAGAGCAGTTGATTTCTACAATCAACTTGGCTTCCCTTTGATTTTGTAATCTGTTTCTAGAGATTATGGGCGAGCTTTGAATTCCAAGGCTCTGGGCCTGTCAGCTTTTGAGGCAAAAAACTTTGAAGCAGATCCTCTGTCTCAGGTTTCAGAAGGGCGGCCTGTGTGTTAGAGGATGAAATTAATTTGTTTTCATCTTGTAATATAAGGGAAACGTGAATAATGATCACTGCTGGCATTGTAACACCCTGGGGTTTTTATTTGCTCATTTTATTTTATGGGTTTAAAAATATTGTTTGTTTTTTGAGAACCCTCATCAAATCACGTGGAAACCTGAGAGAAAAGCACAATCCTTTCAGAAATCCTCACTGAGCATGACTACCTCTGTGAATCTGTCTATTGTATATTTACTTTAAAATGACTTAATCTCCCCATTGATGCACTTGGTATAACTAGGAAACACTCCAGCTCAGATTCAAGAGGTGGAAGGGAGGAAGAAAGAATGCAGGGCAATTTCCAGGAATTCCATGTTCTTAAACACTATGCGCTTTCAAGTACTAATTATACAGGACTTAGGCAATAATGGGGTTACATGGAATTGTTTTTGCATATGTTAAAACTTACAGGTTAACATTACCACTGAAACCTTTTTTTAAAATAAAGATCCCTCTATACCATTCATTGTTATAATATGGTTCAGTAATAATATTTCATGTATCATCACAATTTAAAAAATATAAAGGTGCATATGAGTGTTATTGATAGAGCTATACCCTTTCTGCACATAACTATGCATCCCTACTGGGCTACAGAAAAAGGGTTTTTTTTTTTTTTTTTTGGTAGAGATGAGGTCTCTCTATGTTGCCCAAGCTGGTCTCAAACTCCTGGCTTCAAGTGATCCTTCTCCCTCAGTCTCCCAAAGTACTGGGATTACAGGCATGAGCCACTGTACCAAACCCTGAAAAAGCATTCTTTACCAAGGCCCAGAGCTCCAATTTTTCTTTGGGGTTTTGAATGATGAAAAAAAAAATGGAAAACTGATAGAGTTCCTCAAACTTCAATATAAATCAACAGAATTTTAGTCTTCAAAGCATTTGCTGTAACTGATTTTTAAGGCCTCACATTTTATCTATAATAGTACAAATGTGAACTCAACAATGTGTCATTGACACAGAAGTGAATTTATATTTTTAATAATATTTGCATTGTGTGTATACTGAAATAACTGTACTATAACACAAGGGAAAAAATAATTATCCCAGGAAAACACTCAACAAATGAATCTAGGAAAATCTGCAGGGTGCTTAAAAATGAACTTGCAGAGATAAAAATTTTTCATTTAGAAGTTTTCTGAATGTTTAGCCTCAAAGTCATTCCCATTTCTTCCTGAATACTGCTCTCTAAACATAAACCCTCACCAGAGCTATTTAAAATAGACACACACACACACACACACACACACACACAAGAGAGAGAGAGAGAGAGAGAGAGAGAGTGGTTTCCCCTTAACCCTCAATGAGTCTCTCCACACCCCCCACTTTCCCCTGCAATGGTATGATCTGCATTTGATCAAAAACTGGAGGTGCCAAGCTGTGACAGCTTCCTCAACTTCAGAGTCATTTGCTACAACCTAGGATAGCCCCATGTTCAATGATGCTTTCCTTTTCCACCAACAGGGGCAAATCGAAGTAGACAGCGAAACCATCTTCAAGTTAGCCGCGTTTGTTTTACAGGTAAGATTGGACAAACTGCCTCTTAGCAGCTCCCTTGTGTTTGTTCGTTTTTGTTAACTGCCTGCAACTCTGAAACTTTTGCATGGGCCAGTGTCTGCTGGATTTTTAAGCCAGTTAGTTGTTTGCTGATGAAAACTGTGAGCCACCGTCTTCTGCTTTCGAATAGTTTGCATGAGCTACAGTGTGATATTGTGAGTCTCAAAGAAAAATGAGATTGAGCCTGCTCTGAAGGAAAAGAGTTAAACTCATATTCCTGGAAGAGAGCTCTGGGATACTTGAATTTGGGAGGCAGCAGTTGTTACAACAGCTGTAATTTTCATATAAATTTAGTAACTTTTGTATACATTTTCTTGTGGTCCAGTAAAAGAGCCTTTTAGTTCTTAAAGGCGTTAGTCTGTTTCCATGCTGGTTTAAAAAGTAAAGGGAAAACAAATAGTATATGTTTGTTTACCTGTATTGTGGTTTAAAAGGTCTTCCTCCAGTCTAAAAAGTGTGCCACTTGAATGAAAAGCATTTATCATGTGATCTTAAAAACGTACCGTGAGAAATAATTATTTGTGCTTTTTCACATATAGATGTTTCTTTTGTTAAGAATAAGGAATATGCCTAACAGGACAGTCAGCGTTTTCTTATCAATGCCTAATTCTTATGGCTGTAGGGAGAGCGGTCCTGAGAAACACTCTTCCGAACAAAACTTAGGAACTTTAAGAGGCGAAGTAATCAAGATAAAACTCATTTAGCTTAACAAAAATACATATTGATCAACTCCATTTGTTTTTGTTTGTTTGTTTTTAGGAAGCCAAGGGAGATTATACCAGGTAATGATTTTCTTTTCTGATATTACTATGCAAATTAACCCTAAAGAATCATTTTATGTTGTTATTTTAAATAACAATGGATACAAAATCAAAGGAAAGTAGAACTCTGAGGCAGGAGACTGAGATCTCTTCGCTCTTCAAATAAAGACCTATTCTTTTTGTGAATGAATCAGGGAATGACGCTTTCTTACAGTTTTTCAAGCCAGAATGCCAGCGAATTGTAACCAGAAGCTCTGCAAAGTTCTGTTTTCTGTCATCTGTTAATTAGTGAGATGAAGAAATCTATAAAAAGCCTTGATAGCTTATGCTGATAAAAAAAAAAAACTTACAATAATCTTGTATTCGAAGAGTTATAATGTATGCACAAAGAGATTAAATCCATCAGCTGCTTAGTTAAGGGATTAATAGGGGCTTTCTTTCGCAGCTGCCCCAGAGGGGCCTCACCCTTCATACACTTGACCTAACAGTTGTATTGTTGCTGCGGAGACACTCACTGGTTCTAACTGCCTCACTGGCCACATCCACAGAGAGTGTTTATATTTGAATTCACCCTCTACCTGCTCCATTCTGTCCTTTTAGTGCAATCGTTGGAGTTGTAGAAACAGTTAAAGGGTGGAGGCAACGCTTCCCTTTGTAGGCCAGTGACCCCTTTGAAAACCCGGCCTCTACGATGTTAATGTTCGACTCCTGGTAGACGTTTACTCGTAGATTATTTACAGATCACCTAGCACTCATTCCCAGCCAAGTCTTTGAATAATGCGCCCCTTAACGGACTAACACAATAATGCCTTCCAAGCTTGAAAACTTCCAGTTACGGAGTTGTACTTCACTTCAGAAACTCCCAACACTCTTGTCATCTGCCCATTCGGCTTTCGTAGAATGTTCAAGGATGCCACTTAAAACACCATGAATCCTCACCACAATCTCCCACCAGTTCTGGTTTGTGCTTTCTCTCTCTCTGTCTCCCTCCCTGTGTGTGTATTTACATTTTTCTAGGTTAAGAAATTTGAAGAAATCATGAAAATCAAACACCAATTGTTTTTAATGGAAAGAAAAGGGCAGGAGATTAAAAAAAAAAAAAAGAGAGGATAAAGTAGTTTATAGACCATTAGTATCATTAAAGGCTCACGCCTGAGGCTGGGCATGGTGGCTCACACCTGTAATCCCAGCACTTTGGGAGGCCGAGGAGGGAGGATCACTTGAGGCCAGGAGTTCCAGACCACCTGGCCAACATGGTGAAACCCTGTCTGTACTACAAATATAAAAATTAGCTGGGCAAGGTGGCAGGCACCTGTAATCCCAGTCACCCAGGAGGCTAAGGCAGGAGAATTGCTTGAATCTGGGAGGCGAAGGTTGCAGAGATCGCACCACTGCACTCCAGCCTGGGTGACGGAGTGAGACTCAAAAAAAAAAAAAAGCTACTGTGTCTCTACTCTTGTCTTTCCCAGAAAAACCACGTTTCCTGGGAATATCAGATATGCAAGGAACACAGTCATTTATGGGGGTGATTTTTAAAAAACAACTCTAGGTAAGAAATCATGTGGGGGGGTGATGATAAAGTCAATTTGTAAATGAGCGTTTCAGAGCCCAAAAGCTCACACTCAATCATCTGTGGATTGCTAACCCACCTTCCCCACTTAGCGCTTCAAGCCTGTGACTGACGCCCTCTGAGCCTCAGTTTCCTCATCAGTAAAATGGTACCTTTCCCATAAAATTGTCATGAGAATCAAATGTATGTAAACGTTGCTCAGGGCAACATCTGGCTTACAGCAAATAATCTACACCCTTGGGCTACTATTATTAATTTAGTTCTTATTATCCTCATTATTACTATCATCCTGTCTGGTCTCTTAGCTACCTCTGATGAGATTTTTGAGACTAAGGTTGTTCTGAAGAAGCTATAATAACCTATAGTTGTGGGGGAGGTGGAGAATAGAAAGAGAAAGGTTAATTTCACGAACCTTCCTTAGGGAAGATCCCTTGCCTGAGGCAAAGGAAGGCCTAAAAGGGACAGTCCTTCAGTTGTTCAAATATTTTAGCCCTAGGCCATCAAGGTTGGCAAGTTAATTGTGGGCAAGCCCAGTCCAGGCCTTTGCCTTCACTTGAGCTTGTTTCTGGTGGTTTTCCTGAGTGATCATGGGGTTGAAGTGGCGCACACTGTTTTGAAATTGTCCAAACTATGCTAAGTAGTGGAGAGAGTGTGGGATTGGAAATCACGTAGACTGGCAGCATCCCTCTGAGTGGCCACTTATCCTTTCTGAACCTCGGTTCCCTCATCTATAAATTGGGGTTAATCAAAACAATGGCTTTGCAGGTTGGTTTTGAGGAGATATGGGAGCACTTCGTAAATTACCATGCTCTCGCTGTCTGATCTTCTCCTCCCCTGAATAGAGAGGATATGTTTTTCCTCCAAAATTTTGTTCTAAAACTCCTCTTTGTTTTTGTTTTTGTTTTGTTTTGTTTTTGTTTATTTTTGAGACAGAGCATTTCGTTGTTCTGTCACCCAGGCTGGTGTGCAGTGGCATGATCTCAGCTCACTATAACCTCCACCTCCTGGCTCCATCAGTTCTTTCATCTCAGCCTCCTGAGCGGCTGGGACTACAGGTACACACCATCACACCTGGCTAATTTTTGTATTTTTTGTAGAAACAGGGATTCACTATGTTACCCAGGCTGGTCTCAAACTCCTGGGCTCAGCTGATCTGCCTATGTTGGCTTCCCAAAGTGCTAGGATTACAGGTGCAAGCCACCGCACCCTGCCTTGTTATAAAACTCTTCTGAGAAAATCAGGCACCTGGCGCCAGGTGCAGTGGCTCATGCCTGTAATCCCAGCACTTTGGGAGGCCAAGGCAGGTGGATCACCTGAGGTCAGGAGTTTGAGACCAAACTGACCAACATGGAGAAACCCTGTCTCTACTAAAAATACAAAATTAGCTGGGCATGGTGGTACATGCCAGTAATCCCAGCTACTTGGGAGGCTAAAGCAGGAGAATCGCTTGAACCCAGGAGGCAGAGGTTGCGGTGAGCTGAGATCGCGCCATTGCATTTCAACCTGGGCAACAAGAGTGAAACTGTCTAAAAAAAAAAAAATTAGCCTGGCATGGTCACACACACCTGTAGTCCCAGCTCCTTGGAAGGCTGAGGTGAAAGAATCACTTGAACCCATAGGGGGGAGGTTGTAGTGAGCCAAGATGGTGCTACTGCACTCCATCCTGGATGACAGAGTGAGACTGGTCACAAAAAAAAAAAGAAAAGAAAAAAGGAAAAGAAAATCAGGCAAGGCCAGGTGCACTCCTGTAATCCCAGCATTTTAGGAGGCCGAGATGGGCGGATCACTTGAGGCCAGGAGTTTGAGATCAGCCTGGCCAACATGGCAAAACCTTGTCTCTACTAAAAATACAAAAGTTAGCTGTGCATGGCGGCACACACCTGTAATACCAGCTACTGGGGAGGCTGAGACACAAGAATTGCTTGAACCTGGTGGTGGAGGTTGCGGTGAGCTGGAGATCACGCCACTGCACTCCAGCCTGCACAACAGAGCAAAACTCTGTCTCAACAAATAAAAATAAAAATAAAAAACACAAAAAGAAAGTCAGGCAAAATAAAATACCATGAGGCAATGTTGTAGTGGTTAGAGCAAAGACTGTGGAACCAGACAGCCTGATTCAAATGCCAGGTCGGCTACTTATTACCTGTGTAATCTTGAACAAATTATTTAAAATCTCCAAGCCTCAGTTTCCTCTGAAAAATGGGATTTACAATTATAATACACACTCCATAGGATTGCTGTGAGGATTAAATGAATTAATATTGCATTTGTAAAGTACTTAGAACAGTTCCTGCAATCCATTTTATTTTACCAAATTGATGGACATGATGGACTCCCCTATTGTTACAAATATTACTTGTTTCCCATATAATGGGAAAAAAGATGTTCATCATGGTGTTATTTATATTAGCTTTTATTCCCCATAAAGCTAATATAAAATATGCTGTGATGAACATCTGTGTGTATTTATTTTTAGTCTTGCTCTGTCACCCAGGCTGGAGTGCAGCTCACTGCAACCTCCACCTCCTGGGTTCAAGCAGTTATCCTGCCTCAGCCTCCCAAGTAACTGGGATTATAGGCACATACCGCCATACCCAGCTAATTTTTGTATTTTTAGTAGAGATGAGGTTTCACCATGTTGGCCAGGCTGGTCTCAAACTCCTGACGTCAGTGATCTGCCTGCCTCAGCTTCCCAAAATGCTGGGAATTTTTTTTTTTTTTTTTTTTTTTTTTTTTTTTTTTTTTTTGAGACAGTCTCGCTCTGTCGCTCAGGCTGAAGTGCAATGGCGCCATCTTGGCTCACTGCAACCCCCGCCTCCTGGGTTCAAGCGATTCTCCTGCTTTAGCCTCCCAAGCAGCTGAGACTACAGGCATTGAGACTCTGTCTCAAAAAACATAATAAATAAATAAATAAACGTGGACCAAAATATGTACCCAAATACCTTCCTAGGCAAAGTGACTTTTTCAGTAAAAACAATGACTGAACACCTAATTCTTAAGGCTGCTCTAGTCCACTCCTTGTGAATATCCACCTCTTTCTTGAGCATTTCCAAAGCTGACCTCACCAACAGCCCAGCCTCCAAACCAGCTCCTCTTCCACTGTCTCCCTTTGAATTACAGCTCCATTCTCTCTTGAATGCTCTCTGAGATTTCCCCTTTCCCTTCCCATCTTTTTTCCACCTGTCAGATAGCTCCCTCCTTTCCTTCTGTTGATCAGCACCACAACTTTCTCAGTCCTCATTCCCTCCCATTCAGCCTGACTGTAAAAGTGTGTGTGTGTGTGTGTGTGAATTATGTGTTGAGCTAATAATTGAGTATTACAGTGTTATTTTATGTATTATTTTTTGAGATGGAGTCTTACTCTGTCGCCCAGGCTGGAGTGCAGTGGTGTGATCTCAGCTCACAGCAACCTCCACCTCCCGGGTTCAAGAAATTCTCATACCTCAGCCTC